CGACCGACATCGCCTCCTATTTAACCAAGGCGCCCTCCCATCGATTCCTCCTCCCGTTTCGCTCGCCACCACCGCGCCATTGCCGCCCCTCTGTCTCGCCTCCGCCGTTCATCGCCAAGCACCGGGAGAGCCGGAGCGTGCGAAGGACGCGTGAAGGGGACTTCGGGCGCATCGTCTTCCTCCGCTTCCCTGGCCCGAGGCCGGAGAGATCACTCCCGTGCCGTCGGCCCATCGTCACTGCGCCCCGTCCCGCACGGTAGTGCATCTCCCCGTTCTTCCTCCTCGTTCCCCCTCCTCCCCTTAGCTTTCGGTAGAAGCTTGTGTAGCCTCCCCATAGCTAGCTGGCGCCGCCCCAAGCCTTGCCGCCGCCCACTGTGTGCTCGCCGCCGTCGCCGCCCGAGCTCGGTAGCGCCTCTCGTCGCCGGCCTCCCTCGGTGCGTTTCCCTCCTAATCCGGCGCAAGGAATGGATTCCCGGAGTCGCGTAGATGCTCTAGCTCGCCCGAATTGATCTCCCGTCACGCTGTCGCCGTTTCCCTCTTCTCTCACCGCCGGATGCCGCCGCCGCAATCCGCCGCCGTCGAACTCCCTCCGGCGAATCCAAGCCGTTGGCTCGTCTCCCCTCGTCTCGTGCAACCACCCGGTGTGCTCGCTTTCGCCTGTATCGCCGTGGTTCGCCCCGCCGTTCGCAGCCGACATCGTCGTTTACCTCCCGCTGGACCGCGTGGCAGCCACGTAGGCGCCACGTCGGCACTAGCTCGGCCAAGACCGGGTCGAGCCGACCCCAGTCAGCTGCTCCCTCTGGCCCCGCTCACGCGCGCGGTCCACCGCGAGCCGTGAGGCTGCGCGTGGGCCCGCCGCATCCGCGTCCTCCGCGAACCGCGCGCGTGCACCGCGTCTCTCTCCCCGAACCCTAGCGCGCGCCGCGTGCTCCCTCCGCACGGTGAGCCGAGCCACCGACAAGCGGGTCCCACTCGGGACCACGCGAGAAGGATCCGGCCTACCGGCTCCCTCTCTCCTCCCCTCTCGCGCGTGCCTTGGGCTGCCTTCTCGGGCCGGCCGGCCCATTAAGCTCAGCCAAGCCGCGCCCTTTTCTCTCGGGCCGCGCCCTAGCCGCCCGAGGGAAGTCTATTTCTCCTCCCTTTATCTTTTCCTTTTTCAAAAGGGTTTAATTAAATCCTTTTCCTCTAGATCAAAAATCCAATAATCTTAGAAATTCAATATCTCCTCAACCGTATGTCCGTTTGACTCCGTTCAACTTCCAAAATTCCTCAGATCTCGAGATCTATCTAATGGCACGCTTAGAGGTCAATAATAGGGCTTTATTTTCGCCGTTTGTTGAGTTGTCCCGTTTCGCGTGTAGTTTCGGAGCCCGAAGACCCGCAGTGCGAGGATTTCGAGGATCAAGCTCAAGATCTCGAGCAAGGCAAGTCACCTTTGATCATCTTGCACCTATAATTTAAATCTAAGTATTTCTTTTTCGCAAATATTGCATAAATAGGATTATCACGAGTAATTCGGCCGCGGCTTGCGAGATAGCCTGCCGGCCCCCAATCCTAAATTGCTGCAAATACCCTCCGTGAATTATTGAACACTTAAACCTCCTTTGTCAACTGTTGTGCTTCGATGCACGGGCCTTCGGGCACGCGCATCGGAACACCTCTCCTCAAATTTAAAATATCCAATGATGGGTAAAACTTGGGGTTTTACAAAAGACTTGGAAAAACTCGACACCTAGGTCGGCGCTTGCGAACTAAATGAATTTCCAAAATCGCAGACCGGTGAACGTACCGGGAGTACGGTTTCCCGCTCTTGCACTTAAGGACCGTTTCCTTGGAATTTCATCCGAACATAAGGCAAGTGCGACCACATGGGTGGAATGGGACGCCCCTGGCTGAGTAATTAGCTAATCAAGGGAGCCATGATGCCAAGAGACATGTGGATTCAACGGGGTGGTGCCGGGGAGAACCCCCGGGTTTCCTGGCATAGTATGGTCCGGGACCTAACCTGGTGTTGGTTTGGGACCCCTCTCGTTGGCATATGGTGAACCTGTGTCGGCTTTCGAAATGCCTTGTTATGAAAGCCTCAAGGTCTCCAGACGTGGCCGTTCTGCACGGGCTGGATGATCCGGGTTAGTAATGTCGTGTGGGTAAAGTATACCCCCTCTGCAGAGGTTATTAAACTGTTCAAACAGCCGTGCCCACGGTCATAGGCGGATGTGAGGTGATTACTAGCGTAGTTTTGTTTGACTACTGCTTTTGTGAAATTGCTGTTGTGGAATGGGTTCGATGTTTGGAAAATTTGCGGCTGATGGGATCAGCCAGGCCCGGGTGGCTGTTTGAAAGCTGTTGCCCGGGTGCCAACCTTGATCAATTCAAAAGGCTGATACATTGCACATACTCCGACCGGGCGAGACACACTGTCTCATCCGTGTCGTTTGAGAAGCACTCACTTAGTTGTTTCAAAAAGGAGTTTAAATAAAATCAATTGTAAAAAAACAACAGCCTTTCCCTTGAAGCCTGCATTAAACACTTAATTCCCATGGCTTGCTGAGTACTCCTGTACTCACCCTTGCTCTATATAAATAATCTCCCCCCAGTTGCTGAAGAAGAGGAGTTCTTCCAGGAGCAAGTCGGCTACGATGAGTTTTAGGGTTTCGGCCTAGTTCCCAAGTCGCGCCTGTGATGATTGGTCCAAGTCTTGGCTTCCGCTTTCCCCTTTTGTAATGCAGTTGTGAGCTCGGGATCTGTCCGCAGCCCAACATGACTGTACTCCTACTCTGTAATAAAGAGACCTCTGTTGCTGTGATATTCTGTCTTCCTGTGATACCAGCACTGTTTCCTGGGACTAATATCGATAAACAGGTTAATTTGGAGCGTCACGGGCTAGTTCCGTTCGGGGCTAGTTCGGGGCATGACACCCTGGCAATGCGTAGATACACAGGGCCGAGAATACCGATTTCTTCAACAAGGTGACATAGAAGATGCGTCATTATATTGAAGAAGGATGGTGAAAAGATCATCTCAAAGCTGATAAGACATTGCACCACGTCATTTGGTAGGGTTGTTAATATGTCTAAATTGATGAACTTCTGCGAAATTGCATTCAGGAAAGCAGACAACTTTGTTATTGTTGTATGTACATTATCAGGAAGCAATTATGTCAGCAACACATGGCAGTCTCTTGTGAGACTTTAGGTTTGTGAACGTCTTCTCATTCACCCTTGTTATTCCCTTTATATTCGATGAGTATCCAGACGGTACCCTGATGCAATCCAAGCATTCAGATATAGTTTCCTTCTCTGCCTTGCTCAGAGTGTGGCTGGTTAGATTTAAGTAATGGCTTCATTTCTTTTTTTTTTGGATGAAGGTCGTCATGTTGTTTCATATGTTTCAGATCATGGCATGCTTCAAGTCTATCTTTCGACTTACCATATACACCTAGGAACCCCAGCAGGTTGACATGAAGGTTCTTAGTGAGGTTCATCACGTCGATTGCGTGGTGTACCTCTAAAACTTTCCATCATGGTAACTCCCAAAATGAGACTCTTTCTTCCACATCATCGCAAGATCATCTTCACTTGCTATGGAGTGGCTACCAGGTCCCTTTCCAAATACTATTTTTAGATCTTTCACTGTAGCAATCACAATTTTTCCATTACGATGTTTAGGCCTAGTACGGTGGTCTGTGGTCTGCCTTCTGTTTAAAATGTTTGCCTTTCTTTCGTACAGGATAGCTTACAACAAGAAATCGATGATGGCCCATGTACACAACTCTCCTACAATGTTTCAAATGCATGCTGTCAGTTTCACCCATACCACAACTGTAGCAGCAACGTAAAAGTTGCAGTTTTGTGATAATTTCCCATGCTATCGTTGTAGCAAGCTGAAACATGTCGCTAATGTTATAGCAAACTAATAGTTTGATCAATTTAAGTTGTAGTTTTCTAAAATTTACTCATAATAATATTAAAATAGCCTACACCTGTTGCAACGCACGGGCATTTTTTTCTAGTTTTATCTACAAATTTATTCTCTGTACCCTTTTTCCATAACCTATTTGTAAGAGAATGGCGTATAGAAACATAGCTAGAAATGTAATATGTTAACCATACATCAATAGAGGATGTAGTTTCCCCTTAAACAAATTGTTTTTGATTGGCTACAACTTTTGTAATCTCTTTGTTTTCAACTTGTAACTTATACTCTACATAAATTCCTGAAATATATACTGTTGGGCAAATGTGGGGTAGTTTCCCCTTTTAAAAAAAAATAGAGGATAAAGTTACTAACCTTTTGGATCTTTTCAATTTGTCTAATATCACCAAAATACTGTAGCAAGAAGTTTGCCATGACATCTCTTCCTCCTCTTCTTGGCAGCAATGGCTAGACGAGGAACATATATAGGAAATGATCTTTAGTACTAGGGGCCTAACATGGTCTGATAATATTGAATCGGGACTAAAGATTGTACAGTATCGTTGGTTTACCGGTACTAAAGATTATCTTTACTACCGGTTAGTATTAGATCAGAGAAATTTGAGGTTTTGGTAACACAATGAAAAATCAGTTCTCCAGTAGTGGTGATGCACAGCTTGCGCCCGATTCTGTAGAGGGGATCTAGGCATCGTCTACTGTGAAGAACGGCAGCACGTAGGGAGGACAAAGTGAGGATGGGGAACAGCTCTTCCGCGTGATCGATTGGGCTCAGGCAGCACAACGGCGAGCCACCTCTGAATCTTGTTAGTCAACTTTGCTATCAACATACAAATAGGGGTCAGAATTCTTTTCTTTTAATGTGATCAGTACTCTTAGGAATCAGGAAGATCACCCCATCATTCAGTCTTTTCAGCTCAAGGGTACCATTAAAAAACACTATCAAACATCTCAAAGGGCTCTACAGAAGTGCACATTGAAACCATCTGGGCTTGGTGCAGTGTGTATGTATATGCATAGAATCAAAGCAAATGGTTAACATATATTTGTTTATAAAGGATAATATCAAACCAAACCAACTCTTATTATATTACATAATGAAAGCACAACAACAACAACAACAACAACAACAACAACAACAACAACAACAACAACAACAACAACAACAACAACAACAACAACAACAATAATAATAATAATAATCGTCTTACACACCTCATATATATAGCATACACATATAAGAAGTTGCGCGACAAACCGTTTACAATATGATTACAGTCACACAATCCATCACAAATAGATTCAGAAGGACTCCTATGTAGGAGTAGGAGTAGGAGTATATATATATATCCACCGTATATATGTCTTGTACTTTGACTGGAGCCCACAATGCTTGTACGCAACACAGAGAAGCCGTCCATTCATGGTTACTTATGGGTTTCTTCTGCGCCCGCCGTCACGACCACCTGGCATTGTTCAAACAAAAGATTTCAAATAATGTATCAGTATAACTGATAGTTATATATACTTCAGTGAATTGTTTTGTATATACATCAAGTACATGCGATTTATTTTGTTCTGTGTTATAATTTTGACAGTTTTATATTCTTAAAACTGCCAAGATTTTGTCTTTTTTTTTCTGGCTGAAATATATTGAATTTAGATATGGTACTTCGAAGCTAGGTCTAATACTATCGATATTACATGTCCATTTTTTTAAAAAATTTCTGATGACATTTGTTAGTTTATGTATGGATATTGATTGTGCACCGGAAGCTTATATGCATATGATACGTTGTCCACCATAATAATTATAGAAGGTATACTATTATAAATTATTTCGCACCGAGAAAGGTTTTCCTTTTTTTAGAGAAAATTTCACAAAACTACAAGTAATTTGAGGTGATATATCACTAAACTACAGATTTAACAATAAAATTATCACAAAACTACCGGTTTAAGACTAAGTATCACAAAACTATGGATTTAATAATAAAATTATCACAAAGCTACATGTTTTGGGGTTTAAATTCTTAGCACTAATGTTATGATTGATTTATAACCATCCAAGTTTTATAATTAAATTGATGCTAAACCAGTGATAACTTTGTTATTAAATCTGTAGTTTTGTGATATTCCACCTTAAATCTGTAGTTTTGTGATATATCATCTTAAAATCTGTAGTTTTGTGATAATTGGTAAATATATCTGTAGTTTTGTGAAATTTACTCTTTTTTTTAACATCGAAAGGCCTTCTTTGATCTGCAAGAGGGGTATACGTGCTCTGTTTCGAAGTGTTTCTGATGGGGATGTTACCTTTAACAGGCTTTCTCTGATTAGATTGTGCACTACCTAATGATGTGCCAGCATCTGCAACAAGGAAAAATAAGAGAGAAATTAGTCAGGCATATATGTATACCCTTGCTTTGTGTTTACACGATTGAAAAACAATCTTTTCGGAGGAGTCTCTCTCTCTATATATATATATGTACGTGCTGTGTTTGTAGAGAAAAACTGCCACTCTTTCCATCTGCATAAATGTACATGCGTTTCTGAAAAATGTACAATATCGTGACGCGTGTCACTGCATATATATATACATGCATGCATGTGTGATCGATCGACGTGAACACGAAGAAATAACAGGCGTACCAACGAGCTAGAACGTACTCACTCAGCTCGCTAGTCTCTGAATGCTTGCATCGTCTAATAATTAATTTCTTACCTCCTGTAAAAGTATGCATCTTGCCAGACGGCTCTAATACTTGTGGAACACCGTGGGGAGCTGTTCTTGATAGAGTTAGCGATGCACCCCCATCGGGGGTATGCCCTGATCGACATGAAGAAAAAGAATATAATAACAGCAAATGACGATGCTCGGATTTTTCATATATACAGTACAATGGAAGAAATTAACCAACTGGCCGTAGGTATGCATGCATGTGCCTGCATGAGGTCGATGTCAACTTGTTAATAATAAGTGGTACTTTATCTGTTTTATACTTCCTCTGTTTCAGATTATAAAATATTTTTGACTTTGGACAAAGTCAAACTGTTTTAAGTTTAACCAAGTTTATTGAAAAAAAATAGAAATATATTCGATCTAAGATAAAGTTGTTATAAAAATATATTTAATTATTAATTTAATAAAACTAATTTGGTAATGTAAATATTACTATATTTTTTTATAAATTTAGTTAAACTTAAAGAAGTTTGACTTTAACCAAAGTCAAAACATCTTATAACCTGAAACGGAGGGAGTATTATATAAGACGTTTTTTTTTGTCAAATATCTTTTTGTTTGTTCAATCAGTTCATAATAAAACTAATTTGGTGTCGTTGATATCGCTATATTTTTCTATAAACTTCATCGTATATTTTTAAAGTTTAATTAAAACAAAAGTCAAGACGTGTTATAATATGAAACAGAGGGAATAGTTATATATTTTATGATGAAATTAGTTAGTTCATGTTCCATCAGTCGTTGTAACTTATTAGGTACTCCCTCCGTTTCAGTCGTTGTAACTTGTTAGGTACTCCCTCCCTCCGTTTCAGGTTATAAGACGTTTAACTTTTATCAAAGTTAAACTGTTTCAAGTTTTACTAAGTTTATAAACAAATATAGTAATATTTATAATACTAAATTAGTTTCATCAAATAAATAATTGAATATTTTCATAATAAATTTGTCATGGTTTGAAAATGTTGTTTTGTATAAACTTAGTCAAACTTAAAACAGTTTGACTTTGACCAAAGTCAAAATGTCTTATAACCTAAAACGGAGGTAGTATTTAATTTTATTTAAAATGAAGAAATTATATACTCCCTCCGTCCCAAAATATAATCATTTTTTGATTCTGACACGGCCTCCGAGATGCTACTTTGACCAACAATATCTGTAAAAGTAAGATGTCTTAAATAAAGGAGTAACATATATTAGGATAGTTTGGATAATGATAAATCTAGTAACATCAATTTTATATGATTGATCTTTTTTTATTTTTTTACTATTAATAGTCAAAGTTGAAAATGTTTGACTTGTCACTATGCTAAAAATGCTTATATTTTGGGATGAAGGGAGTATTCAATTTCAAGCACGAAGCAGGTTTTGAAATTTCCAAACCCCCCCCCCCCAACCGGTAAGATCATATCTCACCCAAAATTTTCCATTTTATGCAATTTTTTGTGATTTTTGTCAAATTTTATTCAAATTCATTCGAAATCAGTTAAAATTTCAAATAATTTCGGCCAAATTTTTTTTGAAATTTCCAAAATTTCGCCCCCCCCCGGGGGGGGGGCAGAAATAGCAATTTCGAAATTTAAAACCTTGGCACGAAGTACCCACTTGGATCGGCGTCCTCGGCCGGGACGAACGTCCAGAGGGAGAGGGCATTGGCCAAGCGCTTCTCCTGCAGGTGGACGGTCCTCTTGGTCGAGACGCCAGTGAAGATGTGGTTGGAGTAGCTCCCACTCTTGATGTAGCATACGCCCTTGTGTATCTCCTCCAACGTCCAGCGTTCTCCAACATCTCTTCCCTGGCCAAGAACAACATCCAGCCGCTGCCGCCCGTCGCCACGACTACTCTTGACGACGAGGGGCTTGCTGTTGTTTTTCAGGACGAAGTTCTGGTTAGTTGTGCTGCCGCCGCCGCCGGTGGCCTCGTCGACGACCTTGTACCATATCAGCTGCATGCAGAGAAAGCCAATTATACCGGAATTCATTCATTAATTAATTAACAAGATCCAGAGAAGAACATATATGCATGCCTGTCGGCCATAGGAGTTGCTGGAGGGTTGCGTTCTCTCCGGATCTTCCACAAGGACGACGTTGCCGGACGTGTCCACGGCGAGGTAGTTCTTGCCTCCGTTATCGACGATGAAGATCCTGTAGGTTTCATGCCCAATATTTGCTGTGCATTTCGACATCGAAACAAGCTGGATCTACGTTTCTCGCAGCAAAAAAAAAAGGTCCACCGAGATGAAGTGGAGGAAGAGAGGAGGACGAACAGGCGAACAGGAGATATTATGGAATACGGATGGATGTGTTAGCTGAATACAGAATGTATTATTTATAATATATTGTACGCGCAAATACCAGCCAATCTGAATGTTTATCTAGAGATCGCGAGAGAGTACTTCTCGGTATAGTACTCCCTCCGTGTTTTAATATATGGCGCCATTAAATTTCGTTAGAACATTTTGTCTTATTAAAAATTTTTGTACAAATTTTTAAAAGTAAGTATTGCTTAAAGTTCTTTAGTGATAAATCAAACCACAACATGTGAAAAATATATTTATTTAAAACATTTTAGTAAGACGAATAGATAAACATGATATATAATCCTGTAAATGACATCATATACATATTTAAATCAGAGGAAGACAGGTAGTAATATATTGGCAATAAACTACCCTTGTGGATATAGAGGCCAGATTAATGAAAATCTATTATCTAAAAAAATTGGCAATAAACTAGCTATAGCTTGCTCACTAATTGTAAATTTTCCTGCCGTGTACTGTATGGCAGGTCAGTCATCGCAAACGAACAAAAACTAATTTTCCGGTTGTCTACTTTTCAAGAGATAGACATTTAGATGGCTGATCACATATAGAGTAGTGATAGGTCCATAAAAACCATGGCCCACTGTAATAATCCGTATATGTAGGTCTGTTAATTATTTGTTCTTAAAAAAACTCTTACTACCACAATTGGCTGGCTACATGTAGTTTACTTTACTTACTATAATTACTTGTGTACAGTGAGAGTAGCATATAAAAATATATATACTAGTAATGTGTGATGATATATTACTTGCTACAATTCATGCTACACCCGTTCCAAAATAGATGATCTCCTAGAATACATGTTGTCTCAAACCCTTCAATAAAATGTATTTTAGATGTCTTGTAATTAAGCGTTGTATAATTGAAATAATAACCACGAAATATGTGCATTAATTTGGACATATATATCATCTTAATGTGTTTACAATGTTAAGGAAAAAGAAAACAGATGTAACATTTTATTTTTACATACAATAACACACAAACACACACTCTCTTTAATAGACTCTGCATAAATTGAACTTTCGCCGAAGGACGCCACGTGTTTGTTGGCAAACACGGTTCCCCGGGCCCGGTGCTGTACGAGCTTCGACTGGGAAATTAATTAATCTTCCTATGCAAACAATGTTAGTAATTCCCATTGGCGGACAGATAAAAACAAATGAACACCTAGCTACATCCTGGAAAAAACGACAGTTCCGATCAACTCCATCACGAAGAATGAATTAAATCTATTTGGCAAACTTAAACTTCCACGCAAATCCTATTGCATGCTGACGAACAATAGCGTGTTTTTGTTTTTTGTTTTCCACATTATGATCAATCTTTCTATCTATTACATTATTAAAGATATAGTTGAAAAGAGACGTCGTGTTATTTCTATTGTCTAGAAATTCTCATATTAGTCATAGAAAAAGAGAAAAATCAGTGTCATTAGATAACACTATCCAGGACAAGGTCATCACTGACAGATACAAACCGTCTTCTCTGACAGCTTCGGCCCTCGTCACATATAAGTATGTGGTTCATAATGACAAAATATCATTTATGATAGGTGAACAATCGTCATAGATGAGTCATCTATGATGGGTGTGTAAGTTATGTGACATGTAGTAGCTTCCATCCATCACCGATGACTCATCTCTGACAAGTTGTAACTCACGAACTGTTATTGAAGACAAATTAATAATCATGATTTTGAATTTTAAATGCACAAAAAAACTAAAAAATATTATTTTTAATTTTACCAACCATACTATACACGGTGATACATCACTACCCACCAACCCATGATTTTATGAGCTATATAGATATTCACACATTTGTTGAGTATTGAACACAAAGACTTCCCTATCTACGAAGACTACCCTTACCAACTCACCTATAGAGCACTTGTTGATTACTTTTTGAATACTGTTCTTGTAAGGAATAAGTTCACCACAGGTCCCTCAACTTAACAGCGAGATATTTTGACATCCCTTAACCGCAAAACCAGAAATCTTCACCCCTAAACTTAACAAAACCGTCCAATTTAGGTCCTATGGCAGTATAGATACCTGGTTTCGCTGACGTGGCATCCTAGTTAGCAAAATAAAAATAAAAAAATGTGGGGCCCACATATCAGCCCCATCAACATCTCTCTCTTCTTCCCAGGCAGCTGGCGGGAGGGGGGTTGGTAGCGCACCTGTGGGAGAGGAGGATTGGCGAGAGAGGCAGCTGGCCACACCGGCGAGAGAGGTGGGAGAGGAGGTGGCACCGGCTATGTGGTGGTGGCAGCGGCCACTGTAGCCATGGCGGCGAGGAGGTAGCGTGGGGGCATGACCCGCTGCAATGACAAGCTTGGGGCGACGATGACAAGACGCCGACTAGGGACGGCGAGGAGGAGGCGGCGACTTGGCACCGGCTGTCGGGGGGACGCGGTGCTGGTGCCCCGGTGGAGCCCCACCCCGAGCGGCTCCCTCCCGCTATCCTCCATCGACAACGACGACAAGACCACTGCCGTTCGCGTCTCCATCAACTTCATCCAAGTATTCCCCTCTGTCTCCGCTGAAGCCGTCGAGGACCAGGCCGCATCGGTCGTCCACTACAACCCTGTCGCCGGCCGAATCACGAAGCCAGTCGTCGGGGAGCCTGAGATCGACAGTACCGGCGAAGGGGTGTGGTTCATCGGGGCCGAGGTGAGCTACACTGCCTGCGTGGACTCCGTGCTCACCACCGACGGCACCGTCGAGATTGAGGGCGAGCGCCTCCCCTTCTCTCCTCCAACCCCCTCTTCACTTCCTCCTCCCCTTGCCCCGCCTCGACCTCACCAGCCGCCGCCGTTGCCCCCACTGCCGGCCTACTCCGCCCGCTGCGCTCCGCTCCTCCTCTAGCCACCTCCGCTGTCGTGGCATCGGGGCGCATCTAGTTCCGGTCGAGACGGCGACGCTGCTGATCATCAAGCAACGTCCTCGGGACTGCCTCTTCGCCGTCAGGAGCGGAGACGCAGGGGGCAGGGGAAGCGACGGCACAAGGGGCAAAGGAAGCAACAACGGGCGAGCGCGTGTGCACCAGTGCGGTGGTGGCGGCGGAGCTCGGCCAGGCTCACCGGCTTGCCTCGCCCCATTTGCCGTCGGCGGCAGCCTCCTGGGGAGAGGAGCTGAAGAGAAGAAAAAAAGAGAGAAGAGAGAAGAAGAGAAGTGGTCCCCACATTTTCTATCTCATTTCACTTACATGTGGACCCACATATTTTTTTATTTTTATTTTGCTGACTCGAATGCCATGTCAGTGAAACCAGGCATCTATACTGCCATGGGACCTAAATTGGACGGTTTTGTATAGTTTAGGGGTGAAGATTTCTGGTTTTGCGATTAAGGGACGCCAAAAAAAATCTCGCTGTTAAGTTGAGGGACCTTCGGTGAACTTATTCCTTCTTGTAACTATTCCTTTCCAAAGCATGTTGCATATACTTAACACTTTCAATGATTTCAAATCAAAATGCAATCAACTAAAATGTTTTACATCTTAGTGTGTTCTATAATTTTTATATAATGAATATCTCCATCCAAGGTAGTTTGAAGAATTCAAAATTTCGTCTTTCAAAATAGATCTCACCTTATAATGGATATTCAGTTATGCAAACAATCTCAAATAAAAATATTGTCAATTATAATGTTGTAGATATGGTTGAGACCAACGACTTCGATATAGGGCATGTTTCCATTCGAGGTCATTTGAAAATTCAAAATTTTGTTGTTAAAAATAGATCTCAGCACTTGTATTCATATTAGGGGATGTAGAAGATCTCTAATGAAAATGTTGTCAGTTATGAAGTTGTAGATATCGTCAAGATCAACAACCTTTATATGGCATGCCTCCATCTGAGATTATTCAAAAAATTAAAAAAATTAAATTCTAACCCATCATTGATAGTTCATAACTATCACTTGTAAAAGATAATGTTATCTGTGATGACGTATGGTAGTGATGACGGAAAACACGGTGGCCTGGGAGATCTGCTTAACTCCAGTGCAGTTCCAAGGCTAGCCTCGAGTATGTCAAGGGCGTACTAGCTGATTTTATCCTGTAATCAGCAAGAAAGACAACAGGCCGATAGGATAGCATATCGTTGGCGGTCTCATACGATGTAGTTAGACCAAATCGGCTATGGACTGGGTAGATCAAGGAATAAAAGACCCTAAACATGCCTCATCGGCTATAATACTGCTTGTTAGGTTTAATAAAGAGCTTAAGACTTGGCCCACCTGCACGAAGTGCCTTTTTGGGTAGCTCTCTTCCATTTTTTCGACGGCCCAACGCCATCGTCCATGATGACCACTTTGGTGGGGTTTGCCCAGGGAGGCAGTTCGCCGTCATGCACCCGGTTCGCCCGCCCCTCAATCTGCCATGAAAGCAGCAAGTCATATTCGCGAGTGGTCAAGTCCATGTTCATCTTTTTTGCCTCGGTCTCCGCCTCCCGCAGCGAGCGAACTGATAAATCAAACATACACAAAAAATAGAAGTATGCTTTACTTCGGCTTTTCAGAAGACAAAATAAGGCGAAGAGTGACTTACGATTAACGCTCGCGGGAAGGGTGAAGCGCAGAAGGCCGAGGACCTCCTCGTCCGAAATAAGCGTAACACCCGAGTCTCATAACAAGAGGTAAATCCGAAGCATGCAGTACTCCACAACAAGGTCTCGGCAGCTGAGCCAAAAGGCGATCTTGCGAAGGAGGCTGAAACGTGATTCCATTGTCTCGTCCACCTCCACGTCCAGCTTATACTCGATCGATATGGCCCGGCAGCGGATGCGCCACACCTTCGCCCAGTTGGAGCCTGCTTCATAGGGGACGTTGTGGTAAAACCACTTCTCCATCCAGTGGCGGAAGCATGGACCAGCCACAAGTCAGATATTTCCAGACGAAGGATGAAGTTAATGCTGCCGAAGACCGTTTTCTTCGGCCCAGCTGGTGTCTTCATCGTAGGATCGTGGCGGTGAAGATGGCGTTGAAGAGTTCGGCGTAAGGGGCGAATC